GCAGCGGAACAGGGGAAAGAGATGTGCCCTGGAAGCACGCACGCCGCCAAGCCATGCTTACGCAATAATTTGCAATGCTCGTCGAACGTCCCGGTGCCAACCATGCCCTTAGCACCGCCAGGGTCGACCACGCCCGTGCCAGGAGTGGACACAAGCAGGACGTCAGCTGAGGTTTCAGGGCGACGACCCGACCCTAGCTGAAATCCTTCCGCCGGCGCCTCACACTGTCTGGCACTTCCATGATGTTTGGGCTGGCGTAGAAGCAGTCGTGAGACTCGGTTTCTTTCTCTGCAGCGTAGCCCACGAAGAAAACATATTTCTTGGGCTTGGGGCTCATGGTGCCAGCTGGACATGAGCTGGCGTTACCTTTACCCGTGGATTGTTGCAGTTCACGACGCTCTCTCTTGTATTGGCCGAGTTTGTGGCAATGATGGCATCTCACAAGCGATCGCAGTCACTTGAGATACGGCTTGACGAAGCCGCGACCCAACTTCAATGTGTTATGCATCTTCCTCTGCTCCTTCCAGCTGATCAACGCCTCGACGACGTCGCCTTCGTCTAGAAGCTCGTGGCCCTCGACGTTGTGATCAGCCAGCAGGGGGCTCACGGTCAGAATTATGTTCGGCTTCTCCATGGTCATCGCCTCCGGGCCGAACGCTGTGACCGTCGTCGTCCTCCACGAGATACACACGACGGCCACCACCACCAAACATTTTTCCCAGATTGTTGCGGTAGGTCGGCTTCAAGGCACCGGCCACGTCCATCTCTGAGAATGACCTGCCCGCCGCCGCCATCACCACGGCCTCTTTCGCCGTGTCCAGTCGGCGGCCGTCAAGGAGCAACACTCCTCGAGCAACGTCTGGTTATATTACTCGTTCCCGTTCGGCATCCGTGAAGACTGAGCGAACTCTGGCCGCGTTCCGTGTAGTGACTGGCACCCTCGCCTATTTCGATTCGGAAGCGCAAGCACCTCATGACCCTGGCTATCTTCTCGGAGGCGGGCTTGTCTGGGTAGCTGTCGCCGAGAACATGAGGTCCTCACCGCCGTGCTGCTCGAGCATATCATCGCCGACGTCCTCGCACATCTTCAGGGCAACCCCGTCGCCGTCCAGTAGAGTAAGAATCGTAGAGCCTCGCGCATCGTCGCTGACGTTCTTCGACTTCAGCCAGGCTCTGGGCCCTCTCTTCCACAATCTGTATTCCTCAGGGTGATCGCCAGTGAATGTGTTCACCGTCTTGGTGTCACCCGTCGTAGACGCCAGCACGTGCTGGTGGTCACAAACCTCTGTGACCGCAAGAGGGTTCGGTCTCGGTACGCTCCGCAATACGAATGCCACTGTGCACCACTTAGGTCACGCTCTGGAGCCAGAGAGGCGGCGGAGGCACGCGGCGGCAAGGCATACAAGACATGTGCTTCAACATGTGCTGAATCAGCTGCAGGCGAGAAGGGGGGGCGAGGGTAGAGGAGGAGATGGGAGGGGAGAAAAGGGGAGGGGAGGCGGAGGAGGAAGAGGAAGAGGAGGAGGATTTTTCAACATCAACATCTGAAACCAGCGAAGCTGGAATGATTTATTATGAGAGATATGCCACCCCTTCTGGGTCCACACTAAGCGTGGACCCATATTTGGGGTCGGCACCTCTCAAAACTCTCTTCCACAGAATCTGCTTCTGCGGTGTCTTTGACTTCACACACCTGGCGAGCAAGTTGGACTTTTTCACAGGGCCCGCGCCCACCAGAGACGCGCAAGGTGTGCCAAGAAGCAACGTCCTGCCGTCAGAAGCAGGCAAGCCGACCGCGAGATGGCCCAGACGCTCCACCTCGACGAAGTCACACTCCAATCGGTCCCCAGGGCAGGTTCCGAGGGGCGGGCGGAGCTGAGACCGAGGGGTCTTCAGACATGTGCAACAGCGCCAACGCCCACGAGCGAAAACCCACTCGTGGCGCCCCGGGGCCTCGGCCTCAGTCCGAGGCCTGCCTGGCTTCGCCCACTGCGCGTCTGACAGCTGGAGGCGAGGCCATCTGAACACAGGGGAGGCTGCGAGCTCGCACACTGCGCGCGCAAGCACAATCCTATCCTCGAGAGCCTCAACTTGACCGGGTTCCGCCGCAGGGTGGAGTCGAGAGCCCGACTTGGCCGCTTGGTCGGCCTGCAACTTCCGGCGGCGAGCGAACACCTCGTCAGGAGGCACGCCTCCCTCGTCCAGAGAAAAATGAGCCTTGTTCTGCCCCGAGAAGATCGTATCCCTGGCTGGGAAGGCAAACGCGAGGGGCCCTGCGTAGGGTCTTTGATAATGCATCTGATCAGCCTGGGGTCTCTGAGCCTGTACATACACATGCAGACAATCTGAATAAACGTTGCAGGGTCCTTCGAGGAACTGCCCCAGCCTACCGTAGGCCGAGAACTCACCACGCTGAAGGGGGTTTGACCGATACCGCCGTAAACGGTCCCGAACACTCGCCCAAGGAGTTTTCGACCGAAATCAAACATGGAAAAACACCAGCCAACCTTGATTAATTCAGGGATCGTGTGACGGAAGCAACTGCCATCCAGGAGCAGCTCTCATTCGACCCTCGGCTCGTCCTCCATCGACGTCACATCCTCCTCCCACTGCCATCAAACTTTGCCTGTAGTGTCTGGCCTCGTCCGATAGTCGCCAGGGTGCGGGAAGATGCCCCTCGTCAGGAGCAGCAGATCCCGTGGGTTGTCGGGGTCCAGCTGCTCGAACAGTTGCCTGGCCTTCACTGACGCGATCTCGCTACTCTGAAAGCAGAAAGGTCAAGTCGCAACACAACTCTCTCTGACCTTCTCCGGGACCGCGGCGACAAGGTAGCCCCCCACCACGAACAGGTAGCCGGCCGCGACCGCGCCGCCAGCAGCACCCCGCAGCCGCCTAGCCGGCGAGCTCGGCGGCAAGCCGGGCCTTGGCCTCCTCCTCGACACAAGCACAGCGCCACAGTCGGTGAAAAAGCGCACCCGCGCCACTGCCGCACAAGGGGGGTATGTAGGCGACCGGCTCGACCTCATCGCCGAGACAACGGGCACGCGTCAACGTCCAGCTACTCCAGATTTCGTAATAAAGGGAGGGGGGTCTCATGTCGGGGGGGGTCTCTTCCGGGCTATCTTGGAGGGCCTGTGGGGTCTGGGGACGATGTTTTGGAGGGTTCTCCCACGGGGGAGGTCTGAAATGGCTTGTCTTGGAGGGTCCAGACCCCCTCCCTTTTATTACGAAATCTGGAGTAGCATCACAACCCATCGTGCGAAACTGATGCGCGCTTCCACAGCATCGTAGCACAGACGGGGACGTTTGAGCTGCGACTGGCTGGCCGTCTCCAGCGTGCGAATGGCCACTTTCTTCAGTAATGCCTTTCATTGTCAGAGGCCCCGGCTCACCTCGGTCAGGATACTGAACCTCATCTCCCAAATCGGTTTCCAGACGGAGCCAATCCCTGGCCATCGCGAGGACGTCCATTCCCTGTGTTTTTTTCGGGTTCGTGCGTGGTTTTTTCGCCAAATGATCAAGGATGCTCCTCGATGGTCCTCGCCGAAGGAAAAGTGCACACGTCCGAGCGATGCCGAGATCCAGGAGTGTCCAACCAGTGCGCCGCAAGGAAGGCTACATCGCAGAAAAAAAGGGGCCCGACACCTTGCCTCCGGGAGCTGGGGCCCGGGCCTCTTACTGAAAATGTCCCAGGCCAAAGAGAAAGGTAATCTCTCTCACTGAAACAATCTCTTACTGAAAAATATATGACTGAAAGAATTTCTTACTGAAACAATCTCTTACTGAACAAATCTCTGGCTGAAAATATCTCCCTCGGCCTGACGCAACTCCGCGAAGGAGAGAGCCCATCTGCACGCTCTCGCACGAGTGCTCCACAGCTCTCTGGCGTGCCAGGAGGAGGATGGGGAGGAGAAGGAGGAGGACAGGAGGAGGAGGAGGAGGCAGGAGGAGGAGGCGGTGGAGGAGTGGAGAGGAGGGAGGATGAGGAGGAGAGGATGAGGGAGGGAGGGAGGAAGGAGGAGGGAGGAGAGAGAGAGGGAGGGAGAGAGGAGGGAGGGAGGGAGGGAGAGAGGAGGAGGAGGAGGAGGAGACAGAGGAGGAGGGGGGGGGGAGGGGCGGAGGAGGAAGAGGAGGAGGGACAAGAAAGACGGGGTTGCCTCGGCATGCTGCAGCACAGGGTCCTCCGGGCCCAACAGCATGAGCCCCAGCTGCAGCGGCATCAGGTACGACAGGCAGAGGTCGGCACCGCGCAGGGCGGCGGCGAGGGCGACGGGGCACTCCCAACCTCGAGGGCTGGCTGGGAGGGAGGGAGGCTTCATAGGAGGACGAGGAGGACGAGGAGGACGAGGAGGAGGAGGAGGAGGAGGAGGAGGAGGAGGAGGAGGAGGAGGAGGAGGAGGAGGAGGAGGAGAGAGGAGAGAATGACCATGAGGCGTAAAACTTGACAAGGTTTCGCAAACGGAGGGCGGACCGCTTCCAAAACGTGGCTCTCGCTTCAGTGCCGCGCACATTCGTTGAAACAAGCTGCAAGAGTTTCACGGCTTGAGGGCGGGCCGCTCCCCAAATGTGGCTCTCGCCTGAGCGCCGCGCACCTTCGTTCTAAACATTCGCAAGAGCTTCACGGCTTGAGGGAGGTTCCTGCTCAATATGTGGCTCTCGCCTTAGCGCCGTGCGCATTCGTTTCAATAACAAAACTGGAGTTTCACGGATTCGAACGGCTAACGTTCCCAAAATGGTCTGTTGTACCCGTTCAGGGTTGCCAAGGCGCAACCGTTACGTTGATTCGCGCAGTTGGAGTCCCAGGAATGGCGTTCTGCCACGATTCAGGATCGCCAAGGCGCAACAGTCAAAATAATTCGTGGCGTTGGAATGACGAGAATGGTGTTTCGGCACGCTTCTGGATCTTCCAACGGTTGCCTCCCAACAGCGCACTTCCCCCAATGATAATGGACCCTTGTAGGGGCCTACGAAGAGGGAGTGTGGAGGGAGAATGTATCCCGATATCGTTGAGGAGTCTTGGGTTTGCACGGGTCCTTCCTCCTTCTCCTCGTCATCGTCCTCCTGGTCCTCCTCGTCATCCGATCTGCCCTCCCCTGCTCGTCCCCTCCCCCTCCACCTTCTCCTGCGCCTCCTGGTTCCTCCTGCTCCTCCTACTGGTTCGCCTCCTCCTGCTCATGTTGATACTCTTCTTTATCCCAATCCCCCTCCCGTTCCTCCCTTCTCCTCCTCCTGCTCCTCCCTCCTCCTCCATCCTTCTCCCCCCTCCCCGTCCTCCACCTCCTGTCATGTTCTTGCCTGTGCGTTCCGCTGCGGATGATTGCGGCAATTACTGAGGTAGGGTGTTGCTGTTGGGCATTGGCCGTCTTTGCACATTATGTTCTCTTGCAGGGCACTCTGACGCTCTCGTAGGGTCGGCGTTTGCCGTCTGGGTGGCACCTGGGAGCCTTTTGGGCCTTCTTGGCAGTCTTTGAGCGTCTTGGCGCAATTCGATGTGCTGGAAAGTGTCGCGCACATCCAATGTAAATAAATCACATATACGTGGTCCGCACTGTCCATGTATCTGCCTACTGCTCAGCGATCAAGGCGAAATCGCCAGTGCCACGCTTTCCCATTGCATCCTGGTCAACTCTGAGTTGGCGCATCGCCTCATGACTCTTGCTGGTGCTGTCTTGACTGGCATGCTTGTGTTGGCAATGAATTGCAACGTTTGCTGTGCCTTCTGCAGCATAGCCGTAACACAAATTACCAACTTCGGCCATGTAGGAGCCTTCATTATTTGTGAACTTGGGCAGATGTTGGGACTCACCTGGCAACCCAACATGGCTAGTTCAAGCATGTTGCGCAGGCGAGCCTGCTGAACACTAAAAGGACAGTGAGCGACAGCGTGCTCATGTTTCAAAAACTTGCACACGCGGTGTATAATTAGCTTAATTGCTCGAACCATGACGACTTTATCCAACTGGCCAGCGAGTTACAAGCCGCCCCTGGTGCTCATATTGCTTGCCTTAGAGAACGGAGCCCTCAGGCCCCCCTGCCCATAGTGACAAAACATGCGAATATCTCGCATGCCCTTCCCGCATGGGGAGTGCGCATGCCAGTCCCGCATGCGGATTCCAAGTTGCTCGTTCGACTGCCAGCCCGATTGCGTGCTCGGCGCTTGCGTGCTGTCTTGCTCCTGCTCACTCGCTCGCTTGCTTGATGGCGCCTGTCTGCAAACTGGCTCGCTTGGTTGCTTGCCAGATTGCTTGCGCGCTGGGCCTCCTGAGGTCCCAGAGGCCTCTGGAGTCCCAGCGAGGGCCAAATCAAAACAACTAACCCGCATACGACGGGCGTCGACGAATGCGACCGTTGACGAAGGCGATGACGACGACGCCGACCGTTGACGACCAACGACGATGACGACGACGACGGCGCGACAACGAGCGGGGACGACGACGACCGACGACGACGATCGGCGACGACGATGACGACCGACGAGGACGATCGACGATCGGCGACGACTGACAACGACGACGAGCACGACTGACGACGGCGACACGCGCGCAGACTTGGCGACGACGACGGACGACGACGACGACGACGACGACCGAAGGCACACGACGACAAGCGCACAGACCACCCGCCGCGGCAGAGCCCGCCATGTCTGCCTTTCGGGGGGGGGCCGCGCAGCCGTGGCCCAGCAGCCGCGGCCATGAGGGACTCCCGTGACCTTGGCGGCCTCCTCCTCCTCCTCCTCCTCCTCCTCCTCGCCTTCCTCGCGTTCTAAGTGCTCCTGTTCTTCCTACTCCACATCCGCTTCCCCCTCTGCTTGGGAGAAAGGGATGCAATATAAAGAGGGAAGAGGGAGGAAGCGGAAAAGGAGGAAGAGAAAGGAGGAGGAGGAGGAGGAGGAAGAGGAGGAACAGGAAGAGGAGGAAACGAACGAAGAGGATGATGAACATTATGATGATGAGACGCATGAGGATGATGAGCTGGATGAGGATGTTCGCGATGTTGCAGGCCTGATCTCCGCAGTTGCGAGGCACGCACCGCGGCGACGATTGAAACCTCACTCACCCCAGGCCGTCGATGGGCGATAAAAGTCGGCGTTGGTCACACAATTGGCTCCAGCTTCGCCCCCCGCTTGTTGCAAGAGGCTGGCCTTGGAGTTCTCGACGATATTGGGTTCCAGCTTCGCCCCCCGTTTCTCGCAAGAGGCTTTCGACTGCCTCGTACGGTTGCCCCCCAACCTTCCGCACACGAGCTGATCCCAACACTGTAATTGGTGATGTACGCCCCGGTACTTTCGTGCGCGACTGTTCCTGACGGAGTTAATGAGATGCCGTTGGGCCCGGTCATCGCCTCCCACCTCTCGTGACCGTTTTCTCGCAGCGCCAGGGACTGCGGGGTGCATTCCCCCCATCCACGGCCACTGCGCTCGCCCTTTCTCCCACGGAGTGCTCCCAGTGATGTAGCTGATCGTGGCCCACCCGCGCGTTTCGCTCAGCACCAGCGGCCGCTGCCAATGCGCTCGCCCATTCTCGCACGGACTGCTCCCAGTGATGTAGCTGATTGTGGCCCCGCGCGTTTCGCCAAGCACCAGCGTCCGCTGCCACTGCGCTCGCCCTTCCTCCCACGGAATGCTCCCAGCGTTGTAGCTGATCGTGGCCCACCCGCGCGTTTCGCTCAGCACCAGCGTCCGCTGCCACTGCGCTCGCCCATTCTCGCACGGACTGCTCCCAGTGATGTAGCTGATTGTGGCCCACCCGCGCGTTTCGCCAAGCACCAGCGTCCGCTGCCACTGCGCTCGCCCGTTCTCCCACGGAATGCTCCCAGCGTTGTAGCTGATCGTGGCCCACCCGCGCGTTTCGCTCAGCACCAGCGTCTGTTGCCACTGCGCTCGCCCTTTCTCCCACGGAATGTTCCCAGCGTTGTAGCTGATCGTGGCATGCCCGCTCGTTTCTCTCAGCGCCAGCGTCTGCTGCCACTGCGCTTTCCTTTTCTCGCACGGACTGCCCCCAACGTTGCAGCTGATCGCCCACCCGCACGTTTTGCTCAGTGCCAGCGTCTGCTGCCAGTGTTTGCTCCATTTCTCGCGCGGCTGGCTCCCATCATTGTAGCTGATCGTGACCCCCCTGCACATTTCAGCCAGAGCCTGCCTCCAGCATCTCGCGTTCCAACCAGAGCCTGCTGCCACTGCTCGCCTTTCTCGCACGCGCTGGCTTCAACGCTGTAGCTAAGGGCGTCAGGCTCTAGCTTCGTCCCCGTGTCTCGGAGTCTAACCATCGCCTGCTGCTACTGCCCGTTGTTCTCGCACGCTCATTCGGCGCTGTAGCTGAGCACGTCGGGTAGTTTCTCTACTCTCCCCCGCTCTCGGAGCCAGGGCAGAGCCTGCTGCCGCTGCTCACTCTTCTCGCACACGCTGCTTTCAGCTATGTAGCTGATCGCGGCGCTGGGCCCCTGCGCCTTGTCGCCGGCGCGCTGCGCAGCGACGCTGGCGCCCGCCAGGAGGAGGAGGAGGAGGAGGAGGAGGAGGAGGAGGAGGAGGAGGAGGAGGAGGAGGAGAAGGAGGAGGAGGAGGAGGAGGGAGGGGGCGCGGGAAAGGAAAGGACGAGAGGAGAGGAGGACATCCTGGCCCTTCTGCATGAGCCTGTTCACGGCTAGCTGCCGCTTCTTGATGGCCCATGGTTCTTGATGGCTCCCCGATGCAACGTCGCTCCGAAGTTCGCATCAGGAACGCCCGGGCTGGCCCGCGCAGGGAGGGGAGGTTGGGGAGCAGCGGAGCAGCAACGGGGCAAACCGCACTGGCTGGGGAGCAGCGGGGCCACCGTCACCTGGCTCCTCTGGGCAAGGTCGGGGAGGATCTTCTGGTTCTGGTACCTGCACTGGCTGGGTCACTGACGGCGGACGGCCACCTGGCACGAGAGGCGATGGAGACAGCGCGGCAGGAGCCCGCCAGGCAACAACATCTGCGGAGGAAGAGGTTGAGAGATATTTGCTTGTACTGGTACTGGGTATCGGTCCGACTCCTGCTCTCGCCCGGCGGCGCGGGCTGGCCCCGCAGCGCGCAGCAGCTCCCACGGCCGCCATCTGAACTCAGATGTAGCGGAAGCTGTCGGCCCAAGCGGTGGTGTCCACTTCGAGGCTCCGAGAGGAGGAGGAGGAGGAGGAGGAGGAGGAGGAGGAGGACGAGGAGGAGGAGGAGGGATGCTGGGAGGCGGAGGGCAGGGACAGGAAAAGCGGCGCGGGAGGCAGGGAAGGAGCAGGGAGGAGAGGAGGGACGGATGCGGGAAGCCACCGGGGAGGAGGGAGGAGGGATGCGATGATCAGATGGAGGATGCTGGGGAGCAAGGCGTAAAAGAAAGGAGGAGGAGGAGGAGGAGGAAGAGGAGGAGAAAGACGAGGATCAATCAGGATCTCGTGGGCCCGTGACCGGGGTCGCAGAAGTGGCACGCCGCGCACAGGATTGACTGCGTGGCGAAGAGGAACGCCGGCCAGTACCTGTGCCGCGCGGCCGTGGCCCCGCCCTGCGTGTTTGCTTCGGGGGGCCCTGGGAGCAGAGTTGGAGGGGTAGGTGGGAACGGGGGGGCGGGGGGGAAGGGGGAGAGTTACGTAGGCCAAGTTGGTCCCTCCTTCGCGTCCGCGTCATCATCATGCTCCTGCTGATTCTCCTCCTCCTCCTCCTCCTCCTCCTCCTCCTCCGCCTTCTGCTCCTCGTGTTCGCTGCTCGTCTTCGTCATCGTCACGCTCCCTCCTCTTCCTCCTCCAACTCCTCGTCCTCCTCCTCCTCCTCCTCCAACTCCTCCTCCTCTCCCGCCTCCCATATCTCCCCTGCACCTCCAATGCCAACTCCGACGACGACAACGACGACGACAAACCCTCTCCCTAGTGAAAAGCACAGATGCCGATGCCGATACGGCTACTCCCCAGACCTCTCCAGGCGCGTTCTGACCAGGACTTCGAGGCCAATCCAGCCGTGGCGACGAGGGCTTCCAAGGAGGCCCCCAAGGGGCAGCGGTATTGGTACCTCTGCCTCCTCTGAGTCTCTTGCTACCACACCCCGAGCGCCAGTTCTCCCACAGCGCGTACACCTGAGGGGCAACGATAAGGGGGCCTGTCATAGGGGGGAAACATCGACCTGGAATCGGCGATACATCGCCGATACATTGGCGAAATGCTCCCGACAGTGGATCCGCACGTTCCTGGGTGGGGGTGGGCTATCGGGCCCCTACCTGCGATGAATGGACAATTGCGGGTCGATGCATCCCCCCATATGCCTCTCCCCCTGTCGATGCCCCCGAACACCAGCGCGGCCAGGATGAACACGGAGGCGACCAGCAGCGAGACCAGGTTTGCGTACGCCTCCCTGAGCTCCGCCTCCGCGCCTCCAGAGGGCGCCTCGGTGCGTCGCCCCCTCCGCTCCCCCCCCCGACGATGGCGGCGGCGGCGACGGCGGCGGCGGCGGCGGCGACGACGACGACGACGACGACGACGACGGCGACGACGACGACGACGGAGGGCCGGCACTTCCTCGTGCTCCTCCTCGCTCCTCCTCTCGCGTCGTCGTCGTCGTCCTCCTCCTCCTCCTCCTCCTCCGCCTCCTCCTCCTCCTCCTCCTCCTCCTCCTCCTCCTCCTCCTCCTCCTCTTATCTCTTCCTCCTGGCTCCTCCTGCCTCCTGCCTCGTCCTCCTCCTCCTGCCTCCCCCCTGTCCCCCCCTCCTCCTCCCCCTCCTCCTCCTCCTCCTGCCTCTTCCTCCCTCCTCCTCCTCCTCCTCCTGGCGGCGGCCGCGCCGGCGGACGCGGACGCCGAAAACCCACGCCGACCGGGGGCGGCCGCCGCCGAGCGGGGGCCGAGCCTGGAGGTCCAGGAGCACCTCGGGCCCGTCGCGCTCCTGTGCGGCGGGGGGTGGCGCTCCCGAGGGGGTCGGCTATACACGCAAGAGCGACCCTGGTGAAGGTTATGTCGGGCGTGTCCCCCTACAGGGGGATTTTCGACGAAAAATAACAAATATCCCAAAAATGCCCAGGGTCAAAAAATACCCTCCAAAGAGTACCCAGATTATGTTTGAAACATTGTTTATTATTTTTGGGGTATTGTTTTATTTGTCGTCGAAAATCCCCCTGTATGGGGGACAGGCCCGACTCAAGGTTCAGGGTGACCTCTGGTGCACGGCGTCTGGGGGGCGTGGGGGGGCCGAACCCGAGCGCGTCGGCGATCGGGGGGGGGGGGGGGGGGCCAGTGTCGGGGATGGACAGGACCTACTGTATGAAAGCAAAGCGCGGTTTAGCGAAACCGACCTCGGGCCCAAACCTGGCGGGCGCAAGCCTGGGAAATGACGGCCGCGGCGCCCTCTCGAGAGCCGAAAACGGACAGCTCACTACTGCAATCGACGTGTCGGGGTGGGGGTCCTGTCCGCTCCCGACAGTTGGCCCGCACCAAAAGCCACTCCGGCGGAGGGTCACCCCTGCGCGCAGTCGAGGGGGAGGGGGGCGGCGGCGCAGCGGGGAGCCCTCGGCCCTCGCTGCGATCGCTCTGGAGGCCTGGCGCCCCCGCTGCAGCAGGGTCCCCCGGCCCGCCGGGCGACCGAGCTCTGCCCGCTCGAGGCCCCCTCGAGCACCGAGCAAGGAGGCCTCCGGGCGAGTTCCCGGGGCTTCCGGGGCCCTCCAAGGGCCAGCATCTGGGGCGACAGGGAAAACTTACGAGATCCCCGTCCGCCTACTGCTTCCCCTCCCGCCGCTGCCCATGCCCCCCTCCCCCGGCCTCCCTCCTCCCTTCACGATTACAACGTATGGCTATGACTCTCAACTCCCCTGATACCGTCTTGTGCGGGGTCGTCCCCTCCCGCATTTCGCTTGTCATACAAAAAATGTCAAAAACAGGATCGTGTTGTGTGGTTTGGGATTTTGTTGTCGGGCGGACCCGCACAGGACCATACATATATATATATATATATATATATATATATATATATATGTATATGTGCAAAAGAATTTAACTACGCCAGAAATATGTCAAACATGTGTTTTCCGAAATACGGAAAATTAGACAGCATGATTCTGCCGTTCCAAGCCACCTATATTACCAAATACACATTACCTTTTACAAAGCCATCAGAATATGGAGAATGCGCGCGCGTTTCGCATTGCGTGAGCGTTTGAACTGGGCACGCATACGCACCATGAGTACGTTGCAGGAGTGAGGGGCGCTTGCGCTGGACATTGCCGTGGTCGTTACAACGCCGTTGCCCGAAAGTTCGGGCAACGCCCGCTGTTTTCGCTGACGCCATGTCTTTGTCCTGCGTTGTAATGAACTAGAGACCGTTTGCGCCGAATCTTAGGCGACAGTGCAATGGCTCACGCACTAGCGCCGCTGCCAAGGGGTGCATGGTGGACCGCGCGCCCCGCGCAAGCCGCGGCGCGCGCTAGCCACCCGTGGATCCGCACGCTTGCCTCCAAAGGCATCGCTGATTGGATCCTTGGGGGGGGGGGGTCGCAGTGGGCGTCAGTTGCCGCGGAAGCAAGGCCGCCGCAGCTCGCGACAGGCCCAAGGTACACAAAATTGTTCAGCGCTCGGATGCTCAAGCAGTAAGCAGTCCCCTCTCGCGGTTTCTATCGCGGGGCCATGCGCGCGAATGACAATTTTTCCTCGGCGCTCCCATTCTAACCCACCCCCCGCGCCATTTCGAACAGGCGAGGATCAACGCGGGCACGCGCCACTTTGCTGTTTGACCCCCAGCCCGATGCTGAAACACAGTGTCACGACAGCGCGACTGATGCGACAACTCCCACAGAAGCACGCGAATCCCGTCGAAAGCGCGCCCAACCTTGCGCAGGCCGAACCGGTCGCACCTGGCTGCGCCAAACCCGGACAGGCCCTGCGAGGCAGGACCCCGAGAGGGCCCCAAGAGACCCAGAGAGGGGCCGCCTGCGGTCAAGATGGCGGCCCTCGTCCTTGACAGCAGGGAGGCCCCTTTAGGAGCCCTCCCAAGGCCCTCCAGGAGCTCTGAGAGGGGCCTTTGAGGGCCAAACCCGCCTTCTTATAGGGCCCCGAGGGGAGCTAGCTCTTCGGAGTTCTCTTGGCCTCGTGGGGCCCTCCAGTGGCCTCCGCGACGGGGTGCGAGGGCACGGGGAAACCCTGGTGGGCCCCGAGGGCGCCCCCGAGTCACCATGGGATCTGCTCGCGGCAATCTTAGACCAGTCTTGGGGCTCCTCGGGCCCTCCAAGGCTTTTAATACGGCGCCGGCGAATGCGGGCGCGCGCGTTTTGCAAAACAGCCCGGAAGCAATGACCCCCAACTGCCAAACCGCTGCGTTTTCAAAATTCTTATATTACAATGTTTGAGACAATGGTCGGTTTTGCAAAACACCTATATTACAATTTCTGCAAACTGCCAAACCTACGAAATATGGAATTAATACTAACAATACTATTACCACTGTGTTGTGAAATGCAAAACCTATTACATATACATAAAAAATTCGTTTTGTAAAACGCGATTCCGAAATCCCGAATTACATAAATAATGCCAACAAGAAACCCAAAACAGTACACTTAACTTACGGGCGTCTCCGGGCACGCCTGGTTGCGCTCGGCGCGCGCGCGCTCCTCGTCGTCGGCCCTCATCAAGGCGCCGGTCGCGCCCGGCCCCTGCCGAATGATCGCGGGGCCCTTCAAGACAACCGTGCCTACCGCCGCCCACAAGGCCAACGCTCACTCAGCCGCGCTACGCCGCCCCCCCACCCCACACCCACGTCGCTCCCCCCCACCCCCCCCGAGCCGGCCTGAGAGGAGCCGGAAAATCACCTCTAGATCCGCGCAACACTAGCTCAAAACAAAGCCAACGGGCCTCATCCTCCCGGGGCCCTGTAGGACCCCTCTCGGGGCCTTCCCCAAGCCCCGCAAGAATTCCAAAGAAGCCCCTGGACGGCTCAAGAGGCCCCCAAAACGGCCCGAAAAGGACCTAAGATTGCGCCCAGAGGCCCACAAAAAGAGACACACTCGTGCACGTACTTTGCGCCTCTTTGGGGGGCCCTCTTGGAGCGCTCTTGGAGCCCTCTTGGAATCTTCCTGGGCCTCTTGGGCCCTTCTTCTTGGGGCCCCGCCGAAGCCCCCCCGAAGTCCCGAATGAGCCCCCAGAGAGTTCAACGAGGCTCCAAGTGGCCCAAGGAGCGGCCCAAGAGGGCCCATGGAGGAGAACCCTCCCAGTGGCACCCAAGAGGGCCCTCTAGGTGCCACTGTCGGGAACCCTTATTTGGACACTCTTGGGCCCTTCTTGAGCCCTTCTGGGACGCCTCCCGGGCCCCCCGCGACACGCCCCCGAAGTCCCGGACAAGCCCCGAGAAGGCGCAAACGCAGCCAAGGTCTCTGAACCCAGAGGGGGCGCCAATACATTTTGACCCAAAGGGCCCCCCCTGGGCGGCCCAAGGGGGCCCTTTTGGAACCCTTTCCGGCCCTGGTTTCGGGAAGGCCCCCTTCTGGCCCTTCTAGAGCCCTTTGACAGGGGCCCCCGCGAGGAGGGCCGGCGTCGACGCGTTTCCCCGGGCCAAGCTGGACCTGCCCTGCAAACCAATCGGCGGCGGCACAACGTCCGTACACGAACAAAAAACTGCATTGTAGCGGGATGCCAAATAGCTCTCGGCTCGCGAAAGATAAGTGGCACGCCCCTACTATGCGAGAGACACACCAACGAACGTATACAACAATTGTGCGCACAACACATATACTTGCCTGCGCAGTTTGTTGGCAATTTTCGCGTATTATTGAAAACTATGTTCTTGGCATTCTTCCGCAATCGAATATTTTTGCAAAAGGGCTTCCTGTCTGGGCCAACCGCCGACACAAGTTTTGGACATGGACAGCTGTCGGTACTAGAAATGACCTCCCGCTGCAGCGGTGGCCGCATGCCAACATCGGCGCGCTGTTCCCGCCGTTCAGGTTTGCGCGCTCGCCCCAGCGCGAGCAACATTTCTGGATCCGAGTCGTTCCTCGTCGTTTCCGCCCTCCTCCCTCTGCCTCCTCCGCCCTCCCCTGTTCCTCCTGCTTCTCCGATCCTTATTCCTTGTTCGTGTATGCTCCCGCTCTGGCACCCAGCTGGCCGATGGCCACCTCAACCTGGGCCCTGCCATCCGACCTGCCGAAGACAACACACTTCGCGCGCTGGCTCTCAACACGGACGTTGTGCTGCTCACGCCGCAGAACGCGCGGCAAACGCGGGCTGGGGCGCGCCCTCCGCGCGAAAGCTCGCACCGTCTCTCTCCCTCGCCTCCGTGCCGCGCCCACTTCTCGGGGGAGCTGGGCTCCCGGTCGGGCGCGGCGCACGTTTTTCGCACGTTGTTGCGCTGCTCGCGCCACGAAGCGCGCGACAAAAACGGGACGGGGCGCGCCCTCCGCGCGAAAGCTCGAACTCTCTCTCTCTCTCTCTCTCTCGCCTCCGTTAGGGGGCCACGTGCGAACCCTACCTCTACCCCCCCCCTCAGAAATCGTGGGGGGTAGGGGTAGGGTTCGCACGCGGCCCCCTATCCGTGCCGCGCCCACTTCTCCGGGGAGCTGAGCTCCCGGCCGGGCGCGGCGCACCTCTTCTCGCACGCAAAGAGCTTCGACACGCGAGCGGGCAAGACCATCGCTATGCTGGGCGTGCCCCCCCTACAGTCCCCAGGCTATGTTTGGACTATTTTTTCAATATTTGTTGGGTATTTGGGGTATTTTGGGTATTTGTTGTATTTGGGGTATTTTTGCGACTATGTTTTGACTATGTTCTGAATACTTGTTGGGTCTCTGGTAATTTTCGTCGAACGTCCCCCTGCAGAGGGGACAGGCCCGACTTGAAACCATCGTTCTCGCCTCGGCGCCGCGCAGATCTCGTCTGAGAGCTGCGCTCCCTCCTCGGCGCGGC